GAGGGTAAATGATGGTGCATTTCCTACCCACATGTGGAGAATGTTCTATCAAAGCTCATGACAGGTTCCAGGAATTGTCATACTGGACCACACTAGTGAGCCATTCCATTCAATATCCTGTCTTTGACAGTGGCCACTACCAGCTGCTTCCGAGGAAGGTGCAAGAAACCCCTTAGTGGACATTTATGAAGTATGCACTGAGGCACAAGGGTTAAAATCTCATTTACATTTATTGATGCCATATAATGTAACTGAGTGGTCGCATCCATATAAATGCCTAGTCCTTTTGCATTAATATCAGTAGCTGGCATTTTTCTCCTTTCATGGCATCAGTTCTTTATGAAAAGAGAAACTGATCCTGATATTTCTCTTCTTTCCCATCTCAGGTGACATTTTAGATTTTTTTTTTAGATCCTCCCCTAACCTCTGTCACTGAAAAAACTCCTGCATCCTCCAGGACCAGTTTCTCTAGTTCTCCACTGCTTTTATGTCTGCCTGGACTCCAGCACTGTGTATGCATAGTGCAGCCACTGCTCTGACATGCCCCAGAACATGTTGCTCGCTGGAGGGGGACATTAGAAAATGCGACATCAAGACTGCAGTTTGCAGAATCAAATCTGAATAAAATGGTATCATGAACTGGAGCAGCTGGTGGTAGGGATGTAGGGACCTTCCTGGAGGAACTAGGGCCTGGTTTACACAGCTGGAAAGGAAAGCTGAGAGACAGGAAGGAAGGCTTTTAGATACGCTTTCTCAGCTGAATTAATGTGAGCCTCAGGATTTGTTCAGATAAGATGGGCTGGTGAAGAAGCCATCCAGTCTGGATAATTCCCAAAAAGCCTGCTTATCTCTATTGCCATATTTGAAGTCCATTGATCAGATTTGGCAAAACACCTTTTACCTGCTAGCCTCTGGTCAAGTCGTTCGGGGCTGAAAGCGTCGCTTTTTTTTAATGTCGTACTGTTATGCAAACAATACTATGTAAATGTTCAGGTGAGATAAAAATAAATGTGTAAATGATGGCACAAAACTCCAAATACAGTCCTGTGTGTGTGGAAAAAAATCTGTGTCCCAATCAACTTACTTTGTGTGTGCAAAGGGAGGGCTGCCTTCTGGAAGGTAAACAGAGCAACTCTTTTCATAATGTTGTTAACTGACCAATCTTTTGTAAATTTAAAGTAAAGACAAAGATACCAGAGATGCAATAATCTCAGTATTTAGTTATTTCAAAAGGACAGAGAAATAATTCAGGGGGAGTTTGTTTTGTTTTCGGGGAAAGAGCTGATTAAGAGGAGGTCTTGTTAAACTAAGCAAACCCACACCGAAGTGATGAATTCCAGAGAGTTTACCAAACATTTGAGCATTTAATTGTTTAGGGGGAGTTACTACATAGAGTAGATTTGCATACACTTTGCATAGTGTTTAAGGTTCTCATCTTAACGTATCTGTGACCTCTAGGCTTTTCTGTAACTGTTCTGGAGAGATCTGGAGTTTTCAACGGCAAGTTCACATGTCATAGTAAAATAAAATAAAAGCTGTATCTTTAATATATTACTGTGTGTGCATGCGCACATGTACACACATTTGCTTACACAGATATCTTGCTTCATAAATATTAAAGGCCAAATTCTCTTCAGATACATTGGTGTAAACCTGGAATAACATCAGTGACTTCACTTAAGTGCTCAGATGCTACAATGATGAGGGTGGTATAAGAACCTACACAGAACAGAATTCACTATTATTGCACATGATTTACACGGATATGATTGAGATCAGAATCTGGCATAAATAATTAATTTAGCATGAGTGGAAAAGAAAAGCAGCACAGGGAAGATATAATTAATGGAAATACATATGTCATTGGCTCTCAAATAATAAACTGGCAGCTCTCGCTGAGGTAACTGCATTTTATTTGCAAAGTACACTTGGGAATTTTCTTTAAAGTAATTACACATTTTATTCCATTTCCACCGATTTCCAGAGAACAGTACTTTACAAATACCAACTGAAACAAGTAGAACCAGGTTTCAATACACTCTACAATCATGACTTTTTAAAGGCTCAGGAGCTACAAACTTATTTGAGCCAGTGTCAAAAGAAAGAGGAATACATTTCAGCAAAGGAAGAAGTAGGCAGTAAAGATTAGTATGTAGAATAACCAACAAAGGACAGCACTGGCAACAACTAGATAAATAATTGTAAATGGTTAGATACATATTCTAAGAGACACTGTAATAAAATGCTGCTGACTCAGGAAAGAACAGTAGCTAGGGAGAATTTTCTGAACCCTTGCCATTTTAAAAGGCTCATTTTCCAAGTATGAAAGGATATCTGTAGCTTTTCCTGAATAGAAAACATTACACCTACTGTTCTTCAGATATGCCACAGAGACTGGCTTATCTTCAAGAAAATATAGTCTACCGCTTCCATGATGCAAAAATCTGTGCAAGGCTGCAGTATGATGCAGTATTTCTCCCCACCCAGCTGGCAGATTCAGAGAGAGATCAGCTGACTCATAAAGGCTGCTGGAAAAACCTCTCATTTGTCTAATAAGAAATTTGCAGAGGGAAATGGAGGATTCTTGCAAATGAGATCTATTGCCATGGCCAAATACTCAGATAATATACATTTTAAATCTCTCTCTCTCCATGGTCCCTTATTGAATTGTACAAGCCAATGTAACTATTCTGCTGCTAACCATGTTCAACCGCAAATGGGGAGATAGACAGCTCATCTTTTAAGTGCCTTGTTTGTCTTTTTAGACTTTCTTTTTGCCTTGCCGAGAGGAGAGGCGGCATTAGAGGACACATCTCTACTATGGCCCGAGGCCAGTGTGAGAAATGGACCTGTGAGTCAGGTAAAGTTAACAGGGTTGGGATCAGGCCTTAAGAGAGTAGCTCGAAAGGCCCAAATCCTTTTTAAGTTAATGTGAGTTTTGCCAGGACTTGAAAGAGACAACTGATGAGCAGAAAGATTAATACTGCCATAGAATAATCCTGATATTAACTAGGCTCTGTGTCTGATGACCCCTGGAGGCCCTGGGATCTGCTACAGGCCAGTAGCACAGTAGATAATTTGTTGCTAACTGAACCTTTAAGTAGATCATGAGTTAAAAACACAAGTCATGCTGTTTGTCATTGCACTAATGAATCTGGGATGATGCCATTGTAAAATTTGTACATTACAGATTAATTAACAAATGCATTTAACATTGATATTTTAATTCCTGTGTATAACAATGAACTGGAAAAAAATTCAAAAGGAATGTGAACAAGGTAGTCTTAAGTCAAAAGGGCAAAATGCAATCTAAGCAACTGATTCTAAATTCACCTCAGTGCTGAAGATTTTAGAGAGAACAGCTGGTTAGCAGCAGCAGAGCTCTAGCTTTTTACCATTAAACGTGAATTAAAATCCCAGAGCAAGCTGCGGCCTAGTCTCCATCTGTCAACATCATGAAAACACTGCAATTAATGATTGGCACTTTCTACTGAAAAGAGGCCCAAGATTAAAAGAGCAGGAGGTGCTGCAGGTTATTATTGAAGTGCACTGTCCTGAATGGAAAGGACCTGTGAAAAACTTCCTGCTTGCAGTATGCCTGGGCACGCTCTTCTTTGATAACCTAAAGTCCTGATCCCGCATTGAGCAAATATCATTGTAACATCAGGTCCTCATCGTCATGAGCACTACAAACCTCACAAATATAAACAAAGATATGTTTTGCAGTTTTTAAAAACAAACAAATTATTCAAATCTTTTTTTCCCTTTAAAAAGAATTAAAATCATGTCAGCACTCCTAAGTGACCCTATAATAATAAGCCAGTGTATCCCTGCTATGAAGGGGAAATTTTGTTGTTGTTTTTCTGAAATTTTCATGTATTCCTAATTTCTATAAACAGATTAATCTTTCAGACCACAAAAGATTAAATGAGAAGATTTAACTGGGGATTTTCAGTTGAGAAAACTACATCTGTTGGGTCATGTTAAATTTCATAGGTTTTGTTAATGTTTTTAAATTTAATTAACTTTTCAAAATATGGAAAGTTGTAAAAGCACCTGCTATTTGTGTGCAAATATAGTTATTTATCCAGGCTTTTGGAATCACTGCTCTAATTCTCAAATCACATTACACCTGTGTAAATCAGGAATAAATCCAATCAAATCAGTGGAGTTACATTGGTGTAAGATATCTTTAGGCGAGAAGTGACCTCGTTATTCACTATTGAACTTCTGCAGAAGCCCCTACACTGGTGAACATATATTTTTTTCAGACTTTTTTTAAACGATGCTCAGATACTCAATACACCAGACAGCCTCTGAATTGAATACATCAGAATTTAGGCACTTTATAAAATGCAAACTGAGAGCCAAAGTCCTTTTGCTTGTCTTATACAAACAATCCCATTGCCTTCAATGGGACTACATGCTTGAGTAAAGTCATAACAATTGCAATTAAAAAAAGACATTTCATGAATTAGCTCACTTTCAAACACTGAAATGGAAAAAAACTTCAAAGTATTTTGTGACATTTTTTCATCATTTTGACCATCTCTAATTGTAACAGAAAGATAAGCACCTCTGTAGAATATGGCTCATGGCAGAAATATCCTTCACTACAGTGAACTGTAAGGCCAGATTAAAAATGTTTTAGATTTGGTACCAGGCAAGCCCCAAAAAAACACTGAGAAAGGACTTTCATGGTTCTGTGTGCTACTCCGTCATTGGTGCTTTCACTGAATCAAATCAATAGTGAGGTATCTTCTAAAACAGTTCTTGCATTCACTGAAAGGACAGTGTTTTGATGTCATAGTGACAGCAGAAACACATTATCTCCATTCACTTACACTCCTATGCAATTGCCATTGCTGAAATAATTCTGTGATAGGCAAATGTATCATTCAGCACACTGTTTTTACAGCCTGTCAACTGAAGCAAAGTTACAGGCTCCCCAATTTCAGGTAACTGTCCTGATATGTCTGTCCTTCTGCACAAATACATCTGAGCACATTCTTTAACATAATGCCTCCAAAGACAGTAACCAAGTTTGTTAATGCATCACATACAATTTCAAACCTTGTAGTTCTATAAACTACACCTACCTAATCCCATTGGATAAATATAATACGGATGTGGTGGAAACACCCCCCCCATTCCCCCCTCCCCCAAATTCAATAGGATCAAAAAGTTCTCCTTTCTGTGACATCGCTTCAAAGTCTTCTCCTGGTTTTTAGAACAAAAATTTCATTTTGTGGTGGAAGGGAGATGAGTAAGAACCATGATAATACAAACAGGCCAAACCCTTCCAAAAGGCCACAGGAAACAGACCGTGTTGTAGCGAATAAACAGCTGAGTTCACTGATATTCTGATGGGACTGGCGAATCCTCCAGAGGAATAGCAGTGCATTCTCTCATATCAGTATCCCCGTCTCTGGGTGGGAGAGTGGTATCATTAGGCTCACATGGGCAGCAGCTGACTCCTCCTATCCGGCTGCTTGGTAGATACTGCAGGGAAGCACGGAAATCTAACGATAGCACTATTAGACGGTACAGTTGTAACATCACAACTAAGATATTCTTCGCTGTGAAAAACACCAGCATCTGATTAATTACTTTAAAATAGCTCATCAGTATCAAACGTAAAACAAGGAAAGGGCCATCTTGTATGAAAAGGCTGATTCCAATGTTCCACAGATCTGCGCTGTGTCTGCACAGCAGTAAAGTGGGGACTCTCGTAGATGACACAGATAGTTTACAGCCAATATGTTGCACTGTAAATAAAAGACATTCTGTGTTAATGTAGCACTCTGAAACCTAGACATAAGAGGCTGAAAGGGCAGCTCTGAGGTAGAGTGGATTATTAGTGCATTAAACTATCAACCCTGCAGGTCAAGGTTCAAAATTAAGTATGTCCAGGACTTGATTCAGCAAAGCATGCACTTCACTCTTAAGAATGTGCTTACAGTTAAGTATATGCTTACGTGCTTTGCTGAATAGAGCCTGAAAACAGTTTGGTCTCATTCTGTCCTTGTTGGACACTTGTCCACATCACACACCCACCATACAAATTTGGTATGACCAGTAGCCTCCTTTCAGTGATGGTACATGGCTCACACAGCAGGCCTTGCAGGTTAGGGTTGGGATATACTGATGGGAGGTATGTACAGTGCTTACAAACAGTATGCATGACTCTAGTCATTGCTATCTATTTCCGGTTTTATGGGTACTAAATCACGTGGAAATATAACTTGTATGCATGAGTCTCCCTTAACCTGTTGAAAATGTCCCACTAGCTAACTTAAAATGCTTGCAGTGATATTGCACCTGCAAGGTAATATCTAGGGTTCATTCATGATAAATATGGTTGTCTAACATAAAAAATTTACAACAGAAATGAGGTTATTTTGTTTAGACTGCATAATTTTTAGATTTAATTGGTAAAAAGAAGATGTAGATACTTGGATATAATCACAGGTTTGTTTGTTTTTTTATCACAAATCATGACACATTCAGTAGAAGAACTGTATTGTTTGTCTCTTTGGATGTAAATAATTCGGTCAAGAATGGAAAGCAAACTTCTTAGAACAGCAGAGCATTTCATTTGAATTCATTAGAGAAACAAAAGTTTCTGCATGCAGTTGCTGAATTTTCTATGCACTTGTGCATCATCATCTTGAAATACCCTGCCTTGATGCAGCTGAATGTCATGTGCAGCACTGACATAGCCCTTTGTTACAAAGCACAGTGGTGCATCAGTAAAAAATAAAATTTTTGTGTCTCACGCAAACAGCTGCACAGAGGTGTGATCGTTACAAACTTACCTTCTTAAATAGCATTGTCACATATGATAAATATTTTAAAGATCATACATATACTCTTTCCTTTAATTTTCAACTGTGAAATGTAGGGAAAAAAACAGAATAGCAATGACAAGGAAAAATGTGGCATACACATTGCTTCATTTAAATTAATGCTATGATCCTTTAAGGGTATTTGAATGTTTTCTTGAACTACAGTGGTATGTATTTTTGAAAGAATACATTGTTAGCAGTCCATATATCTGCAAATCTTAATGTGACATCTTAAAAGCTCCTGCATCAATTTGTAGCATCGAGCTGTTAAAATGACAAATTAAAACATGGAAATATTTCCTCAACCTTAATATTTAAAAAAGCCTAATATCTTTTGTAAGAAAATGACTCAAGAAAAAGTCCCATAAGAAAAAACTGATTGAGCCATTTTATCAATTTTATATAAAAACCTGTTGAAAATAATTCCTGCTTGAGCTGATTGTATACATGAGATGCAGCTGAATTGTACACTCCCAGAAAAGAGGGATCAGAATAATAGACTGTGATATAGGGAGATGTTCATTATGCCTCCCTGCACCAGAAAAGCCCTCTCTGCAAGAGGATAAAATCACCCTGAGGTAGGACTTGTGATGTTTCTACTACCTGCTTTCCTTGGGGTTCAAGCCAAGGATGAGCAGTTTAATACTTTTATGGTCTCCAGAGAAGCTCTATGGACCAAAGCTACTGAGTGGGGGAGCATCTGGCCACACCCTTTTCTCAGCCAGCCATATCCACTTTATGGGCTAGGCTGGCCTCATGTTAAGGAGAGACATCCCGACTCAGGGGCTCTTTGCTATCGTTTACCCCAGTGGGAACCAGCCTAGTTCCAGGAGTGGCTCTAGCCCCAGGGTTTATAGTTAAGGTTCTGTCAATTTTTCCATTATAATGACACAATCACAGCAGGTGCTCCTATTTGACACATGTCAGCAGTAATTCCAGTTTGCCTGGCAACAAACAGTGTATATTAAAGAGACCACAGTTCAGCTTGAAATAAATCTTCCTTCAAAAGAAAGCATGCTTATTTTTCTATGCTGATGCTGAGCTTCCTTCGAATAACGCATCATTGTCTCTGTGATGTGAATTGCTGTCCAAAAGCCCTCAGCATAGTCTTTGGCGGTGGTATTTATTTTCATTCACAGAGTGCTGTAAGTGTGCACAGCCCTGAGACATGCTCATCTCTGAAAAAGGTGTTTTGCTGATACTAACCTGCAAGATCAAGTGGAAACTGCAACATACTCCAAGTCCATACACAAAGAATTGCATAAACAAGAGCATGGTTATGCCTAAAAACAAACAAAAAGTGAGTAACTAATGAAATGAACCCCAAACTATTTAGAACACTGTCACTTTTAAAAGGATGTGGAGCCCAACAGTACACCTAGTGGGCTCATGTGTCATTCCAGCAGAATTCTGCAGAAATTTGGGGCAGCTCCTGGTGGGAATCCCTACAGTTGGTCTGCATTTTCCACCTGCTTGAGCTGTGTGATTTAGACCAAACCTCAGAGTTAATACTCAAGAGTGATCAGAGTATGGAAATAAATTCTGAGGTTCAACGAGGAGAAGACGCCCTACCCTACCCTGATTTCACACCTTTGTTGAGCTTGAACCATCTTTGTTATGTAGGGAGAGCCTTCCCTGCTGTTAAATAAGTTCTGTTACAGGTACAGCTGAGTTGAATAGTGAAAAAATAATAATGTATGGATATTTTCAGGGATAAAAGTGCCAAGTTGTTTCCCATTATTTGTGAGGTCACATTCTTTATGATAATTCGATAACTGAGTATTTCTGAAGACGTTTCTAAATCACTCTAATGATTATTAATCTGAAAATTCACATTGGAAGCAGATTACTCTCTCCTCTCTTATTTTAAAACCTTGTCATCACCCACTCAGGGAGCAGAAACCATATCAGGTAACCGAACATGCAACTTGGATAATGAATAGCCACAGCAAACTGTTTGCAAACAACACACAGTCTGAAAAGCATCTGATCTACAAGACAACCAAGATTAGCTTGTGAACAAATCACTAACCAAAGGAGAGGCTCTCTTTGTATTAAATAGTTGGAGTAGCTCTAATTGTATATATTGTAAACACTGTGTGTTAGTTACTCCATTTTCCTGGTTCTTTGAGTCCTTTCCTTTTGATGAATGTGACATGTTTCATTATGAATAACCTCCTATGAAGCGGATGGGAGCTACTTGTGACCTCCATGGAGGCGCAGAAGAGGATAAAAAGAAGACCTAGACAGTAGCCATCTCTTGATATCTCTGAATAATACAGTTGCAGCAACCCCAAATTCACACAGATTACAAAACTTGAAATGGAACAAGAAAGTCTTCAATATAACCTTGGATACAAATGACGTACTTCAGGAAATATTACTTACCTTACATTTTCTACTTCCAAGGTCTCGCTAGTGAATTCAAGTATGTCTGCTGCAGTTCCCACAAACATAAGTAGCAGCTGTGACAATTGATCACGAGTGATTTCACCACCAATGGGAAGAAGCCATCTCCCTATTATTAGTAGCAGCAGAAAAGTCTGGTGGAGTCCTAGTGTCCATACAGTCTCACACACTGTGGAGAGCTGGGAGACAAAAACTCTAGCCTATTGCAAAGACCAAAACAACAAGAAAAATACTGTAACTATAGGAAAATGAGATGGTCTAGCTATAAAAACTTATCTCCACTGAATGCACCTTCAATTCAACTGATCATGCTAGTTCTTTCTTCAGGCAGAATTAAAGCAAACCATTTCATGCTGCTGGTGTGACTCACTAAATGGACTGCCAGACCAAGTTGATTTATCTCTTGATTTATCTCTTTTTCTCCCCTTCTCTCATTGTTCACTTAACTGTTATACTTTGCTCCACTGTAACTCCAAAATTGTTGAACTGAATTTTGTCATTCTTGGGGGAGGAAAGAAATCCCTTCAGACTCAGACCAATCCTAGAAACAACATTTAGAGCACAAGCACCATCTACACCAATGGCTTTTTATAAATGATGATTTCCATCACACCGCTTTGCAAAACTGTCCTGTGCAAGGGAGGTTCACCACATAGACCCAAATAGTGATGTCTTATCTCTGTGCCCCTATTTATTATAAAGTCTATGCACTGAGTAGAGAAAGGTATCCCACCGACTCAATTATGTGATGATCTGCTCCCTCATTTTTGGGAGTGCTCTCTGTTAACTGATTGAAGTCTTCTCTGTTGCTGATATTTTCCCATGTTTGTTCAGCTTCATTACTGCAAAACTACGATAAACAAAAACATCATACACTCAGAAAACCTCATGGAGCTGGAGAAGAATTCTTGAATTTTCACCCAACAACTTCATCCTAGAGACATCTCCTTTCTTCCCTTCCAACATTTAATCCCCCAATTTCCCATTCCTGTTGCCTTAGCCATACTTGCATTATGCTCTGGCAGCAAACTGTAATATGCCACTTGCTCACCCCCTTTGTAGAACTTGAGCCTCATTTGCATGTTGATCCCAGTCTCAACAAGCCCACAATGGATGTCACTCCTGAAGCCCAACCCCCTGTGATGGTGTGCTGTGAATTCCAAGCCAACTAGCTCTGAGAGAGCCTGTGGTTCTACCTATTCATGTATTAAAATACTATGTAATGCCAACATTGTACTGCACTTAGGCCTGGTCTACACTACGACTTTAATTCGGATTTAGCTGCGTTAATCCGAATTAATCCTTAACCCGTCCACACAACGGAGCCAGTTACTTTGAATTAAAGGGCGCTTAAAATCGATTTCTGTACTCCACCCCGACGAGCGGAGTAGCACCAAAATCGATTTTGTAAATTCGAATTAGGGGTAGTGTGGCCGCACACCACCGAATTAATGTGGTTAAAAACCGAATTAATGTGCTTAGTGTGGCCGCGCACAATCGAATTTATACAATCTGTTTCCCAAATTCGAATTATCTAAATTCGAATTAATCTCGTAGTGTAGATGTACCCTTAGTTTTACTTCTGAAGTTTGACTCTGACTTGTTGGATTAGTAAATGCAGTATGAGTGTAGGCTCCAGACACTGCAGCAGAGTTCTAGTAGTACAGTAAACATTTTTCGTTCAGAATCTATTCAACTGCCTTTTTAGTGACCTATTTTAATAAGCACATATTAGAAACAAGAGAAAAATGACAGGTATCCATTTACCGCCACAACCACTGGTAGCACCCCTCCTCCCCCCCCCCCCCCCCCCCCGGCCTACCATAAGCCTGACCATTTTCTCTTTCTGCATCAGAAAATTCCAATGCAATATCATTTAGAAAAGGAAGGGGTTTCAGTACAACTGTCATTTTCCCTTTAGGGCTAAGAGTTCTGTGGCTTTCTCTGTGATTATCAATAGTGCCATCCTATTAGTTCATTTATTTCATAATTCACATAAGTTTGCAGGGACTGGCTAGGGAGCCCCTAAATTACTACCCAGTTTTGTAAAGCAGAATATTGTAGTTTTTCTATATTGTGTGTGTTGTTGAATTTTCTAGTAACTGCCAGTATATTTTAGCAGAATCAAATATGGCTGATATAGGATTTGTATGATCTTAGTGGGTTTGTGTGCCTAAGGCTATTGGTCCAGTTCTGCTCATTTGCACCACTTTACATCTGGAGTAATGTAATTGATGTCAGTGGTGTTACTCCAGATTGATATCAGTGTAAGCAGAATTTGGCCCCATTCTCTGTAATTTCATTGTGCAGGAGAGCATTCAAATACTGCAAAAATGACACCTTACAACCTAGTTCGATACAACATATAGCCACCTTCCATGCATGGGTACAAAACCCAGCGTTATCTTAGAGAGATGATTTCTGGTGTCTGCAGTGGGTAGAAAAAAGACTTTTTACTGAATTAGGAATTTTTTATTTACCCCAGAATCATTGGGTATGTAGAAAAATATCTGTCTATTAATGGTGAAATTCTCCCATTGTTCAGGGGGCTAACACAGCATTCCGCATTTTGAAGACTTAAGTGGTGCATGGGTCTAGTGCTGGGGTGAATTTCACTCTGGAACGGGACTCTACACCAATGGTTGATGTGGTAGGAAAACTTTTGTAGAGTTTTGATTTCACTTCATAAATGCAGTATGCTGCAGCTCTCTCTAATATGCCACCAATGGTTCCACAAATATCCCGTCAGACTCCCTCTGATTAAAAGGTAAATCAGGGTAAAGGCTGACAGCTGCATTCTAATCTGAAGACAGGCGTGGCCTGTGCTTTTTAGGGGGGAGGGGACTATTTTCAAGGCAACTTTCTCTTATCCAGAGGACCTGTCTGTAATTATTCTGGTTGTTTCATTTCTCCTTCCATAAGATCCCTCAGAGGAAGAAAAGACAGACCATTTTTTCTGGCAAGAGGCTATTTATTTCTATCTTTCAAGGAAACTCCTGGTGTGATTGGTGAAATGTCAGGACTAATTAAGAAAGAAAGGCATGTGCTGCTGTGTATCCTCTTAGAGCAGAAAAGCACCTATTTCCACTCTTTGAGTACATACAGCTCTGAGAGAATGTAATGAAGACAAAAAACCATGAAGTTACTGAACTTCAGTAAACAAATCCTCATTGCATGGAGCTGCAGTGACTAAAGAAACTACTATGGTGCAGGGAGCAGATATTCAGTGACCCTTATTATTGTCCCTGGAGCAGATTGGATATGATTTTAAAAATCTGTCTTCCTAACAATCCCTAAGCATCTCATTTCATTCTACTCAAAAACAAAGCTAATTAGAAAATCAAACTCCTCAGTTATTGAAGACTTTCATCCCGTCCTATTTCTGCCAGACAGGCCTGGATGATTGTTTTCTAGTATGCTCATCGCATCAGTGTAGGAGTTAAGAGTGGGATTCACAAAGGTATGTACAGTAGGCACCTAACTCCCATTGATTTTAATGGAAGTTAGGTGCCTAAGTAAGAATCCCACCCTAACTTTTTCTGCACCAAACCGACTGTTTTCCAGGGAGTGCTAGGGAGCTATATGCTAGTATAAAGGCAACATCTTCCAACAAATACCTGTATTTGAGATTCCACTTTTCCCCTTTACTTAGAATGGAGCATAAGTGAAGCACGTCAGGTACCACTGTGCAGTAATTGTGAACAAATGCTGTAAACAGAGCCCCTTCCCCAATAACCTGGAAATTTAGAAAAAAGCTCTTAGGTTAGCTGGTTGGGTTATTTTTGTGGGGGTTGGGGTGCGGGAGTTTTTTTTTTCACAGGGAGAGATGGAAAAGAACCATGGAGGTTTTGTATCTTATGAGAAGGAAGGTAGACAGAGGTATTACTGTGGACATGAAAACAATGAGACATGAACACAATGTGGTTAAATGAGGAGGCTGCAATTTTATTTAAAGCTATTGTCTAATTGGGTTAATGACCCCAAAATACCCGGGAGGGTTGTTTCAGTACACATCTCAATAAGCACCACTGGCCTGAGTGGGACTATAAACCTGAGGGTGAGTGTGAAGGCCATGACCTCTCTACACCCTCAAGCTTACCAAGGAACGCTGACTAGAATCCAGAGTCACAACACACTTCCTTCTTCCCACTCGGGGTAGGAGCCATAAACTATGCAAGACATAGAGGCAAACCCCACTATGCATGACTGTGCTCAGGGCCAATTCCCAGGCAACCCACTGGGTGACAGGGAGCTCAAATTAGACTATTTGTAATTTATCTATGGCACTAGAACTGCCAAAGTTGCACCAAGTGTAATGTAACCCCCCAGCCTAGACCTCTTGGATGCCAGGTGGAGGGTGAAAAACCCACCCAGCACTTTGCCAATTTTGCCATGTGGGAAAAATCCTTGCCAGACTCCAAAACTGATAATCATCCCCCAGCATCACCAGAGATCCACCACGTAGATTAAGGGCAGGGCTCAAACAGGGAGCCCACAATGGCTGCCCCATCTGGACAGAAAGCTGTATCAATCCCTTCACCCTGCATCGTCACCAAATGGGAGCCAATCACAAAGCCATAGCACCACCCTGAATTGTAGTGGAATACTGAACTATAATACACTGTTCGGCCGCTTGGTGGCACAGTGTGTAACATATCTTCTTTAAGCTAACCTCGGCCATACCTGGCAGAACATTAAAGGACCTTATACTGAATGCATCTGGTGTGTAGCTCTGAGAAGGAAGCTCAGTCCATCTCTGGTACAGGAGCCTGGGCTGCTAGTAGGAGCCCAGCAACCTGCTATGTACATGACACGCAGGTGGGACAGGCCCAGAACCCAGGCTCAGACGCAGAAGGAGTAAGGAAGTGATAGGAGGATAAGAAGCAGCAGCAGCCCCAACACAGTGAAGGAAAGTGGGGAGGAAAAGGAGAGGGAACATGTGCCTGCTCCTGGCACCATCAAAGCTGCAGCCTTGTGAGCAAGGTGAGGACTGTCATATTGGCGTAGGGGTGAGGAAACAGAGAACATACATGCAAAAGCAACTTACTCTGTCAGTATCTGTCTGAGTTCCTCTTTCTGTTTCTAAAGCTATTTGTGTTTTAATGTGAGTTTTTCTCCCTCAGTGCTAGGCTTCTCCTTTTGAAAAATTCTGCCCTGACTTGCGCTCCTTAGGGTGGGGACTATATCTTATTCTGGACCAGATGTGAGCAAATAGTGGATAACTATATTTGTTAACATGTTCATTTAGTCTGAGTCCTGATTTGATCCAATTACATTCATGTCTTGTTCTGGTTCAGTTCTCTGTGAATATTTATGAAACTGGTGTTTGTTCACATGAAAGTTTGGGGAAGAGCTGTTCATTTTACAAAGTACATATGGGCGTAAATGGGAGCATTGGCGCCAGAGCTATTCGGCCAGCCCATCTATCCTCTATATACATGCAATTATTTAGTGGGAATATGACAAGAGAAAATTGAATGTAAAGCCTGGCAGTCAATGAATAAATCTGGCTTACATCTTTCTTTCTCTGTCAGGAAGGAATTCAACTATTTTTAAATATTGGGTCTATATATGTAGCTACACGTAATTCTCTTTATTGTGCAAAAAAGGATAGGAAGACATTTTAAAAATCCTCAAACTTCCTGGGCTACTTTATTTCCTACTTTTTTTTCTTCCTAAAATGAGATTCAACATCCCTGTGATTTCTTCACATGATGTTCCTACAGTCGAACCTCAGAGTTACGAACACCTCGGGAATGGAGGTTGTTCGTAACTCTGAACAAAACATTATGGTAGTTCTTTCAAAAGTTTACAAGTGAACATTGAATTAATACAGCTTTGAAACTTTACTATGCAGAAGAAAAATGCTGCTTTCCCTTTAGTATTTTAGTAGTTTACATTTAACACAGTAGTGTACTATATTTGCTGATGCTTCTTTTTTTAACAAAAACCCCAAATTACTTTTTTCTTTTTTTAGATTTTTCCCCCTTCTTAAAGATAAATCTAGCTAAACTTCTATTGAAATATCACTTCAAAATGAAAAGTGAAAATGTTTCATACCATACAGGCTAAAACAAAATGTTTTGACACTCTCTTCATTTTTTTCAGCTGAAACTATTTTCCATATTCTACCCAAATGTGCAAATAGTTTGTCAACCCAAGGCTGTGTTTTTCAATAAACAAACTATTCATCCACAAAACTTTGCCCAGATGTAGTACAAAGCACCAGTTCTGTCCGTGGGATGGATTTTGGTTTCTTCTTAAACTGTTTAGGGTTGTTTAAAATAAATATTTGGTTGGCACAACTTGTAATTTCTTTTGTACTCAACGGAAATTTACCTTTAACTGGGCTGTTGCTCGAGTACATGTGAGCTCTCTGTGAGCCTGATTCAAAGCATTTAAGCATGTGCATAAAGTTAAGCATATACTTAAGTCATTTTCTATTCAGCACCGCACTTAAACACATTCTAATGTGGCTTGCTCAATTGGGACCTTAAGCTTTAGGAAGAAAACAGGAATGTCTCAAATCTGTGTTTTTACAGATTATAATATTTGTCATTTTTCTACCTTGCTATTTAATTCACTGATTTTACTGACAGTAATTTTTTTTTACTTAACGCAGTTCAATCTGATTTTATACCATAACCCTCTATTTAAAAAGTGCATCCCAACATGCTTTAAATCAGAGGTTCTCAAACTGCGATCCGCGAGCTCCATTCAGGTGGTCTGCGGATAGTTCCCTCTAAGGTGCGCGCCTGGGGGGCTGCACACAAGAGAATGAAGGGCCACCCACCTAATTAGTGGACCCTGGAGAAGATGCACATGTGCAGTGAGGTGGTGGCCTTGGGGGGACTAGAGGACTAGAGGGTAGGTGGGAGGGGGTAGTGGGGTGAGAAGAGGGAGTGGGGGGAATTTGGGATGTGCAGGGCTGCGGCGGCCAGAGAAAGAGGCGACTTTCCCCAGTTCCAGGGCTGCAGCTGCCGGTGAGAGACCCCCCTCCTTCCCAGCCCCAGCTCTGTGGCTGCCACGGCGGGGGAGAGAGGGCACATCCATCCCATTAGAAAGGTTAAGACTACTGATATTAAATATGAGTTGTGGGCTTTTATTTATAGAACAAAAGTTAATTATTATTAATTTTTTTTTATATAGCACTTTTGTCCAAAGCTCTTTACAATAATTAGCTAACGGTACAAACAACATTTGGAAAGATCATTAAGTGGTCTGCCGAGATCATCAGCAATTTTCAAGTGGTCTGTGAAAAAAAATGATTGAGAACCACTGCTTTAAATAATACAAGGCACTGTCAATATTTCACATTTCTGATATATATGTTATTACTTGTGCCCATTCCTGTGATATTTATGGAAACAAAACTTCCATGCTCTTCAGTGGTAGGGGAGTACATATGAAATTATGCCCTAAATAATTACTATTTTGGGGGGGAAGGGCTAATGTTTACTTTTAGGGATTCAATCTGAGAGCAAAATCTTTAATAGTATTTATTGCCTCAGTTACCACAAAACCTTTTTATTGTGTATTCAATAAATGTGCTGTAGTTGTTGCACAATTGCCTGGTCTTGATCCTGTTATTAAGAAAAGGCACAAGATATTTTATTATAAAGAGTAGCACTTGTGACTGGGTGCTACATTTTGGTCTAATTATTAACGGGACTGATGTCCTTCCCTGAGGTCTTGGTTTGAATCCATTAGGTCATATGTACTTTCAGAATCTTCTATCCCTCTCCAGGAATAAGCTAAACTATTTACTTGATACAGTACCACTTTAATTCAGAGGAGCAGTATATCAATAAAATACAAAGTATGCCATGTTGTAACATCATTCTGGGAAATAATCTACTGCCTTTGACTATAAAATTAGCCTGTTTCTTAGCCCAGAGTTAACGATTACAAATGTTCTCAATATCCAGTTTACCTGTTCACAAATGTTTAGGAAGATGTGCCAAACATGAAGACAATAAATTCTTGCTCCTGTGTTTAGAAAGAGCCTCAGGCAATCTCACTGCAAATGCAATTTTGAATATTTGATAACGCTTCTCTGTGATCTAACAATGTTTCAAAGGAGAAAATGAGGCTCTGTGTTTGATTAATCAAATGTATGCATTTTCTTTCTATTGCTTTCTCTTAACAATCCTCTCAGGCTCTTCTGAGGAAGTTCTAATGCAACTCTTGGGACTAAATCCTGATCCATGCTAAACCCCTTTGTGCCACTCTGGCAGTGCTAAGAGGACTTAAAGATGTCCTAATTGGGGAGATGACAATCATCCAGCACTGCGGAATCATTAGCTGATTAAGAGCTGGCGTATTTAGCCCTGTTCTATGCTCTGTTCGTCCCCCACCACCTGCATATGGGGTGCACCAAGGACAGGACAGAACCTTAATGCTGCTCTGAATTATATTGACTAGGGCTGGAGCTGGCATAGAATTGGCTTGGTGATTGGAAAGCTGCAGCTGACTCATTTGCAGCTTCCCATACCCACTCACAACTACCCTTAGCTTTTCCTTGGTGCAGCTGAGGATTCCACTCTTGAAATGTAAAGTTGTCATAACCCTCATGAATAACAAGAGGACTTAGCCTTAACAGAACACCTTTAATCCAGGGATCTCAAAATGTTTCCCAAAAAGGAGTAAGTATACTTTTTTTTAAAGAGAAAATAAGGCATAGATAAAAGTGGCTTTCCAAAAGTCACAGAGGGAATCAACAGCAGAGCTAGGACTAGAATCCAGCTTTCCTGCGGGCAGGCCCTGTCCCTGTCTGCTTCATCACATGTATAGTAGCTCTGGAGACTGGCTCCATTATTTAATCAGAGAGCATAGAAGTCAGTTCATCTCTGGTCAGAGGGCCAGCAGGAGGCCTGTGCATCACTTAACTCTACTTAAACCCTCAAAATAGGGATAAAATGGGACATAGGGGGTGAATTTCATCCATCAGGAGTACAGGGTTGGCAGTGACTGTGTCTGTGTAATCTTCCTAACAATAGTGGGCAAATATGCTTCGACCTTGACTTAGGTGGGACCATGGTACCTGTCTGCTAAGAACTGGACCGGAACCAGTATTGTATTTTACCTAAGCCACCAAGCAGCTATCTGATGGTAATGCCATTGCCAGCCTAAGTTGGGTTCAGACCAGTAACCTAGAAGTGCAAGGCTGTATATCATTAATCTTGAGACGTCCAGTTCCACCCACATCAGCAGAATACCAAAGAGTTTGGTCTCAAATTTAATGAAGTGCTGCCAATCCAACATTATCAAAAGATGAAAAGATGTTACTATAGTTGGAGCTGTAGTGGTAGTGCCACCAGGGCCGGCTCCAGCTTTTTTGCCACCCCAAGTGGTGAAGCGGGGGGAAAAAAACATAAAGCCAATCGGTGGCAATTCGGCGGCAGCTCAATCGTGCCGCTTTATTCTTCGGTGGCAATTCGGCGGCGGGTCCTCCGTTCCCTCTCCTCCTCTTCGGCGGCACTTCGGCGGCAGCTCAAAGAGGAAGAGAGGGACTGAGGGACCTGCTGTCGAATTGCCGACGAAGACCCAGACGTGCCACCCCTTTCCATTGGCCGCCCCAAGCACCTGCTTCCTTCACTGGTGCCTGGAGCCGGCCCTGAGTGTCACCAGAGAATGGAATGAAGAATAGGAATAAGACCTGGCAGACTATGAATAATGGAATCAGTTTCCAGATATTTCCTTCAAATACCACAAGAAATACCTGAGTTTCACGATGAGTTTCTAGTAGCCATAATGATGGTACTGTGCTAATCAGATATAAAAATATTGCTGGAGAAAACCTGTGAAGAAAAAGAAAAGATGGCTTAGTTTACAACACTGTATGAGCACCACATATATCCTACCATTTTCTGAGTGGAACATTCAGAATGTTACTTTTCAGTGTGAACTGTATTTAATAAGTGTTTTGTGAGTTCTGCCATATGGAATATAAAGGAGAGGGGTAACTGCAACTAACACTTTAACAGCTGCCATTCTCACTGAATTCCTAATGCAATCAATACATGTATGTCTTAACACGGGTTTACTAGACAATTTATCAAAGATTAGGTTTGTTTAAAAACCTTTTTCAAAAACAAAACACAGGTTTCTCTTTTAATTCATGTATTTTGCCCACTCGATTCTGTGTGGAAGTGGGTATATAAAAATCTCTTGCTGAAGGCCCTCTTTCTGATCTAACATTGGTGTAAATCAGGAGTCACTCCACTGAGTTACACAGGTGTAAAAGGAGTTTGAGATCAGAGTCCATGTGTAAGTACAAGGGTAGAAATATCCTGAACCAAAACAAATGTTTCCTCCCCAAAGAATCCTTCAAAATGGACTAAAACTGTTTATAAAGATACTGGCCAGATATGCATGTCACTTACACTGGAAGTTCTGTAACCTTGTTTGTTGTGGACCTCTCTGCTTTCTCTTTCACTTTGTGTCACCTCTGCTTGCTTTGATGATCTTCATAGTGTCACTTTCTGACACCTGTGGCATTCAACTTCTTGAGCTGGCCATGTTTTCCAAGAACGCTCAGGAATTTTATCATACCGTCTATGCACATTTCCCTGCTCCGGCTGCAGAGGACGGGGGAACATGGCGCCCGGGCGGTCCACTCCTCCTCGGCTTGTCCCCGCCTCTGCCTCCTCTTCCTCCTCCTCTCTGTGCCGCCTCCTGCCAGGGGAGGGGAGAGGGGAGCGGAGCGGCAGCCCGGGCTGAGCCCAGCTCATGCCAGGGCCAAGGCGAAGCCCAAGGATGAGCAGGGCTGGGATCCAGCAGCAGCCCCAACCCCTGGCCCTGGGAGCGGCGGTGACCGGAGATGACTCCACCTCAGGCCAGATCTGCAGCAAGGTAAGAGTCGGGCCAGGCAGGAGGGTCCCCAGGACCCCTGGGGAGCTTCTGCCTGCTGGAGCCCAGAGGCTGCTGCCTCCCTCCCCAGCCCCTCACAGCACTCCAGTGCCTGGAGTCTCCTTCTGCCTCCCCTCCTGCAGGGGGCGAGTGACCTGGCAGAGAGGAGCAGCATCTGCCCAGCAAGCCCAGCACCTCTTCCTTGGTTCCTCCAGCCCCAGAGCTCTCTCCATTGCATGCCCCTCGGGCTCCCAGCAGGGTGGCCTCAGGGTGCCGGTGCCTGGAGTCTCCTTCTGCCTCCCCCCCTGCAGGGGGTGAGCGACCTGGCAGAGAGGGGCAGCATCTGTCCAGCAAGCCCAGCACTTCTTCCTTGGCTCCTCCAGCCCCAGAGCTCTCCCCATTGCATGCCCCTCGGGCTCCCAGCTGGGCGGCCTCAGCACTGGGAAAACGCCAGCAGGGCTGGGTCCAGTGTGTATCCGAGCTCGTGGGGAGCTCTCTCGCCCCAATGACTAGCGCCTTATCTACGACAAGTACAGTAGTGCAATAGGAGTGTGACGTGAAAAATATCATGTCATGTTGTGACACGGTCACTCAAATCACGATTACATGTGTGTACTGTGCTGCCCTATCGGCGCCATTCGCGCTAATTTCCGTTTTGCATCGGTGCCAGTGGTTATAGGGCTAAAATGCCGGGACAAAAACGAAAACGACTTTCTGGTGCTGCTTACCAGCAACAAAGAGATAAACGGCAAAAAGAATTAGAAAAACTATCTCGTACTTCAAACAAGTATTTTAAAAAAGTCGACAATCAAGGAGAAAGCTCTAAGCAATGCATTGAAGGTGATTATTCATCAACTGATGAAGACCGATCGAACCAAAGATTACCTTTATCAACTGATAAAGATGAACAACAATCTGACCAAAGATTATCTTCACTAACTGATAAAGACGAACAATCACAATCCACCCAAAGATTTACTACTTCAGCTGAAGAGTCCAGAAATGAAGAACTGTTATCCAAATCTAAAACTGAAGAACATTTATTGGAAGGTGGAGAGACTGACATAGGATCAGATCCAAGTACATGGCCGACAATAATTACTGATACAATGCCAATTATTATTGTGAAAAAAGGTCCTTCAAAACTAGATCCTACATTTGAATATCCATTTAATGAGTCAAATCATCGATTTATGCCATCCAGTATGAAGAAAAAAATGAAAAATGGGGAACAAATTAATAGATCGTGGTTAGTGTATTCACAGACCAAAGATGTCGTTTTTTGTTTTTGCTGCAAACTGTTCTGTAACTCGGACATTTTTCTGGCAACTGCGGGTTTTAATGACTGGCGAAATTTGCATCAGCATTTGAAAGAACATGAAACATCAAAAAATCATTTACGCTCATTGACAAATTGGATTGAGCTGTCAAACAGATTACGTACCAGTACAACAATCGATGCGGTACAGCAACGTCAACTAAATTCAGAAATTCTACGTTGGCAAGCAGTGTTGGAACGTTTACTGGCAATCATTAATTTCCTAGCCGAACAGTGCCTCGCATTCCGTGGATCCTCGGATATTTTATATGAGAATAACAATGGAAATTTCTTAAAATTGGTTGAGTTATTGGCAAAAATTGATAATGTTATGGCTGAGCATGTACGAAGAGTGAAAGATGGAGAGATTCACACCCATTATTTGGGTAAAAATACACAAAATGAGATAATTTCTAATGGAGTGCGTAATGAAATTTTATCGAATTTGAAACATGCCAAATATTACTCAATTATAGTTGATTGTACTCAAGATCCGAGCAAATGTCAATAGTTTTACGATTTCTGAAAATTGATGAAAATGCAGAAGTGAAAATTTGTGAACACTTTCTAGAATTTATACCAGTGAATGAAACTACTGGGAAAGCCCTCACAGATGTAATTCTACAGAGATTGGAACACTATGGAATACCTTTAGAAAATATGCGCGGCCAAGGGTACGATAACGGCTCAAACATGCGAGGACGACATGCAGGTGTACAGCAAAGAATATTGAATTTAAACAATCGAGCTTTTTTCATTCCTTGCCATGTGCTTTCGCTCAATCTGGTTGTCAATGATGCCGCCAAATCATCAAAAGATGCCGTTTCATATTTTACCACAGTGCAAGCAATTTACAACTTTTTTAGTGCTTCCACACACCGTTGGGCAGTCTTGAAGAAGCATCTTGAACAAAAACTCACACTTAAACCTCTGAGTCAAACTAGATGGGAAAGCAGGATAGAAGCTATTAGACCATTCCGATATTCATCAGGAGAGATTTACGATGCACTATTCGAAATAAGCCAGGACTTGTCGTATGATCCTTCACTTCGACATGAAGCTGAAACATTGGCTCAGAAAATGATGCAGTTTCAATTTTCATGTTGCACGGTTATTTGGCACAATATTCTAAATCAAATTAATTTGACCAGCAAAGTTATGCAGAACATAACCATAGACATATCCGAGGCAAAGATAATTTTGAATAAAACGCTGGAATATTTAAAAAAATACCATTCAGATGAAGGATTTGAAGAAACTGTCAAAGAAGCAACAACAATAGCAGAGGATCTTGATTTTGAACCAATGTTTGCACCTCAAAAATTCATTCGTCCTTGGAAAAAAACAAGACAGTTTTGTTATGAGGCTCATGGTGATCCTATTCTCGATCCAAACGAAAGGTTTAAAGTTGAATGTTTCTATTGTATTTTGGATGTAGCTATAACTTCCATTGAAGAAAGATTTTGTCAGTTGCATGGTCATTGTGAAACTTTCGAATTTTTATACGATATTGGAAATATTAAAAATCAGTTTTCCAAAGAAGACCTCATGAAACAGTGCCAAGACCTACATTTAGCGCTCAGTACTGATAACGCTGCTGACATTGATGCAGTAGAATTGTATGATGAATTAATAGCTTTATCTGAGCTAATAAGTCCTAAAACTTCTCCTCTAAAAGTATTAGAATTTATAGCAAGAAATGATTTTTTCACTCCAAACACTGCTATAACATTACGCATTCTTTTAACATTACCAGTATCGGTGGCTTCTGGTGAGCACAGTTTCTCAAAACTGAAATTACTAAAAATTTTTTTGAGGTCCACCATGTCTCAAAATCATGTGTCAGGACTGGCATTAATTTCAATTGAAAGTACTACCGGTATTGCAAAAAATTTAGATTTCACTGACTTATTAAAAGACTACGCAAGTATAAAAACCAGAAAAATTCAGTTCATATAAATTCTTTTAATTTATGAGAAACTGGAAGACACTAACGTTTTTCATTACAGTGTATACTTGAACTCAAATTGTTTGTTATTGTGTTTTTGTTAAAATTAAATGTTAAAATTACACTAGTAGGAAATTGTTTTATTTCACTAACTACAAATTCTCTGTTTTCATTTTTTTTAAATTTTAAACAGTCAAAACAAAACTGCAAAGTGCAAACATGTGTAAAAGCTAAAAAAAAGCGGGGGGGGGGGGGGCCAGCCAGACATTTTTTTGCTTGGGGCAGCAAAAAACCTAGAGCCGGCCCTGCCTGGGACCAGCGTGGCTACAGCTACACTGCATATCTTTCCTGTAGGATTTTAGCACAGGAAATTTTTTTGCAGTTGGCAGGTTAATGCCACTGATCTAATGATGCTGTCTCTAGCCAGCTGAGCTCAGGGCTTTTAGCCTTGCCTTTCTTTTTAGAAGGAGCAACCTAGAGGAAACATTCCTTGGCCAGCTTCTTCATATTATTTAATCTCCATGTGTGCTGTTAAAATTGCCTGTGCTAATGCAACAAGCAACTATCTTTAGCTATAATTTGTGGACAAAATTTGATGGCTATTCTGTAGAAACAATCTCAGATATGATGCAAACCAGTGCTTAATTTGTGCCAGGGCTTGCCAGGCGTCTTAGGCTTGGCAG